CATCTTTTAGCAAAGCAGCCTGGCCTGAAAGTTCATTTTTATAACAGCTTTGGTTGGCGCGATCTGAAGGGAGCGGGGAGGAAACTTTCCACCGAGCCGTAAACACACGAAAGTCTGTGAGAAAACCAAGAATTAGCAGCAGCATCTACGTATTTATAAACGTAAATCTAAGGATGACGAGGCGCTTCAAAATGCAGGAGGCGTTTCAATCCCTCAGCGAGATCAGGAGCATCGCTGGATGCTTTGCACGCCGACTGCTACAGCTGGAAAAGCGTATAGTTAAATAAATAATAAATAAATAAATGAAAGGGGAAACACAACACATAAACCCAAACCCCACATGGAAATTGCTCGGTAAGCTAGCAAACAGCAACGCAGGTATTTGTCATCCAAGGAACAGAGCGATTTGTCTTCAGTGTCTCATTAGTCAACAGAGGTTAACTAGCCAGCCAGTTAGTGCGTGCTCAAATCCAACCCATTCTCCTTTAAACATGTCTGAGCAGAATTCTGTCCGTTCGGGAATTGTATTTGGATTATTTCTAAAGCACAGGCGGGACGGCCTCTGGGGTGGCAGGAGCTGGGGGTGCCCATCTCTGATCGCACCCCCCAGTTTGCTGGGAGAAGCTTCACCAGAAAGTAATAATAATAATAATAATAATAATAATAATAATAATAATAAAACCAACAACAAAACACAACCAACGAGCAAAAAAACCACGGGATTTCGGTCCGGGATGAAACCAGCGCGTTCTTGTCATCACGTTTGAATGGCACGGTGAGGAAAGTGCCTACGTAAAAGGGAAGGGATCGGCATTGTTGTGGGCTCTGTTAACTCCTGCCGTGACCTCCGCAGCTGCCAGCACCGCCCGAGCCGGGCACGGCGGCGGGGCCGCGGCCGCTGCCCCATCCGCGCTCCTGCACCAAACACAACCAGCCCCAGCTCGTGGATTTCACAGACGGCCAGACCGCTCCCGCAGCGAAAAATGTGCGCTTTGGAGACACTTCCCGGAATATTTACGGTTTTTTTGCTCCGTCAACCAAATGTTCGAGACAAGACCTCCTAAACCCGACCCAGCTCAGAAATAACAGTGACCTGAACATGACGGGGTTGAATGAACGACATTTTTTTTTTTCTTTCCCGCAGCAAGTACATTTTTCAAACATCAACAACGTGGAGAAAAAGATATTAATGATAATAATAATAATAATAATAACAACAACAACAATAACAGGCGATTCGAGCAGAGGAGCAAGGAGTCGCCCAAACCGCTTCGGAAATCGCAGCAGTTAGAATACAAATACTATTTACCTTGTGATTTTTCCTGCCCGGGATTGGCTTTATTGTCCCTCCCTGGACCAGCCCAGCCGCAGCCACGCTCCCTCCGTGCCGGGCTCTTTGCTGCCGGGCTGGTGCTGGGAGAGATTTGGGGGGGTTGGGTGGGGGGGCCGCATTCATTCGTACATTAGGACTAGTTTAATTTGCAATCTGTCAGTCCATCTCCTGGCTGTGGCTCGGAGATGGCTGTGTGGCTCTCTCCCTCCTCTCTCCCTGCACACAGCATTTACTCACGTTCAAGAGCAGCCAAAAGGAGAAAAAAAAAAAAAAAAAAAAAAAAAAAAAAAAGAACTAATTGAGCTTGTGTCGGTATTGGCTAATTTCTGCTAATACTCTGTAAATTCCTTTTTGCTTCCTAAGCTTCCCCCACGCTGGTTAGGTGTTCCCAAAGCCTCTCCGGAGCTCCAGGAGCCGCTTTCTCAGCACTGATGGGCGGCTGGGCTTCAGCAGGAGCCCCAGCGCCTGGATGTACACAATGCAAACCTTAACTCCTGGCTCCAGAAACGGTTAAATTGCCCTTTCCCAGCCCCCACCCCCGTTATGATTGACTCTGTTTTTAAATTTGCACTTGTTCCCACCAAGCGCAATCTAACTCGTCCTGTCTCTAAAGTGAACTTGTGTTGAAGGTGAAGTTTTCAATACAGAGGTCACGACACCGAGGCACAGCTTACCGCTCCGAGCTTCATGCTGTATTAAACACAATCAAAACGAACCCCTTTTAGACCTTTTTTTTTTTTTTCCCCCTCTGTCTCCTTCCCCTCCCGCGGATGAACAATGAGAGGAGGGGGGGGGGAAAAAAAAAAAAAAAAACAAAAAAACTGTTAAATATAATAAAATCAGGTCTGTCACGATAAGAACCGCGTTGGTGGGGTCGGGTCCCAAGCCGCAGCCCGTGGAGCGGTGGGGAAGGAGCGCATCCCGAGCGGAGCTCCGCGAGGGGAAGGAGCGGGGCTGGAGCGGGGACAGCAGCCCTGCCCCACGCCCCACGCGTGGGTGACACCGCGGGGACGGCCACGGCCGGGCCACGCAGCCGGTGACCCCGGAGAGCCCCGGTGCCGCCGGTGCCAGGGGGACTGGACACAATCCCGGCTCCCGCACTTCAAATCGGGGCGCTCTCTGTAGCGACTTCTCGCTGCCCCAGGACGGTGGCTGCCTCCAGCTATTGTGCGAGCTTTTTCACGCCAAAGATTTAGCAGAAAAAATAGATATTAAAGCCAGTTATTTGCTGAGGAAACGCGGGTCCCTCCGGGGCGGGGGCACGCAGAGGCAAAGGGCTCGAGCGCACAGTCCGAACCCAAAAACTTTTTTTGACATACATATTTTTAAAATTTAAAAAAAAACCCAAACTTTATTGGGTTTCGGTCTATGAAAAATAAGTTACAAATTCTTGCAACAGTAGCTTTGCATGTACTTATTTTTCTCCCATGTCCAGACGGGGTCGGCTATTGAATAAGGCTCTTTTATTCTGCATGGGGCAGGGGATTTGTGGCCATGGTCCCCCTTTTATTCCTCTCTCTATGGAAACCCAGATCATGGGGAGAAAAATGCGAGGCTGAATAAAGAAAAGCAGCAGAAAGGACCGCTTGAGAGCGGCATCTGTTACACTTGGGAAGTTAGACTGACAGGAAAGAGCTAAAGAAACCCTCTCCAGCAGATTAGTTAGAACAGCAAGAAGATTTAACTATATGCAGATAAAAACACTATAAAATCCACCATACTCTGCTATAGGCGAGGTGAGAGCCGCCTCGGCAGGAGCAGAGCCGGGCTCTGCCTTAGCTACATTTGCAGCAAAGATTAAAATGGGACGTTCGGGGTTTTATTTCCCTGCCAGAGACTCTGCCTTAATTAAACGGCGGATCTGAACATCTATTTTCACGGGCAATGGGATTTGAAAAATTGTATCGGAAGTTAAAGTGCAAATTAATTTTAAATAATTTAGTTACGTTTTTATACAGTGCGGATTTGATGTTGTTGGGGGGGGGGGGGGGGGGGGTTTTTTTTTTCTTTTTTTTTTTTTTCCCCCAGCGGGCTGCGGTGATGTTTATTTCGAGGAGCTTGCGAAGGCGGAGAGTGGGGGGGATAACAAAAAAAAAAAAAAAAAAAAAAAAGGGGGGAAAAAAAAAAAGGAAGGGAAAAAAAAAAAAAAAAAAAAAAAAAAGAGGAAGAGCTGCTGCTGTAACTCCTTCCCTGCCCTCCCCGCGCTCGGGCGGGCTCGGCCGCGGGGCTGCGCGCCCCGCACCGCCCCGCGCCGGCACCGCGGTGCAGCGGGGCCATCCCCGGCTCCCGGCCCTCCCGCTGACCCCCCCGCGCACCCCCCCGCCCGCAAACTTCACTCTTTTATTTACTTTTCCTCATTTTTTGATTTATTTTCCCAGCCGGCCCCCCCCTCCCCGCACCCCCGCGGGCGCGCAGCGCGGCGCGGACCCGCAGAGTCGCCGATATATCGCGATTTGCCCCAGCCCGCCCCGCTCCTCAGCACCCAGCCCTGCCTCTGCCCCTCTCACACGCTGCCCCGGCGAGAAATTATTGTGATTATTATTATTATAATGAGGAAAGCGATGGGACCGGGCTCGGAAGGAACCAGAGGAGCGCTCACCTTATTTAGATCTATTTTCTCATTTTCTTGAATTTTCTTCAGATCTGTCTTCTCAGAGAAACTAATGCCTTAATGACTTTCTGGTAGCTGCAAGCCTTCTTTTATTTCTGCTAAATATATGAAAATGTATGCAAATTTAAATCAAGCTTAACCTAGGAGCTCTTGCAATATATTTAATGGAATTTCAAACCAATAAGGGGACTCTGATGCAGTCTTCTGGAAGTGCAAATATAATTACGCAGCTCGGTTACCTCCAAAACCACGCAGGGAAAGGTCATTTTGGAACTCGGCGGCGGCTCGGGGGTCCCGGGGCTGCGCGGGTGCGGAGCTCTGCCCGCCGGGCCCGGCCGAGCCGGGGGGCTCCGCGCTCCCCCCTCTCCTCCCGGGGGGGGTCCCGGGCACCGCACGCGCTTTTCCCCCGTTATTTTCCCTTTTCTCACTTTTTTCCCCCCTCTTTTTCTCCTTTTCCCCCCCCGGTTTTGCCCTGCAGCCCGCCCGCCAGGCGCGCAGCGGCGGCGCACGGCGCCCGCGCTGCTAACTTTGAAGAGCATCCACCGGGATTTACCGGCGGCGAGGTCGGGAAGCTCCTTTTTTGGGGGCTGTTTTTTTATTATTTGGGGCTTTTCTCCGTTTTTGTCGCCGCACGGCCCGGGGCAGACGGGGACGCGCGGCTCGGGGCAGCCGCACCGGGGGAGGAGCGGAGCGGAGCGGAGCACCTCTGCCCGCCGCTAATCGCTCCCCATTTAAGCCGTGCCCCCCGCGTGTCCCCCCCCCGTTCCCAGGCGCTCCCCATTTAAGCTGAGCCCCCCCCGCGGGCCCCGCCGCTCCCCGCCCGGCGCGGAAGGAGTTAAGCGGCGGGGCCGCCTCGCGCCCGGCCCCCGGTGCCGGCGGAGTGATTCACTTCCTGCCTCGCGCCCGCGCGGCCCCGCGGCCCCGCCCCGCAAGGGCTCGCCCCGCCCTCGCACAGCGCCCATTGGTGGGCCCGACCGGCGGCGCGCCCCCATTGGCCGGCGCGGGTGCCAGTCGCGGCGCGGCCGCCGCCGGGCCGCCGTGCCGGTGGATGTCAAAGGCTGGCGCGGCGGCGGCGGCACAGTATAACTCGTGGGGCTGCCGCGGCCATGGCCACAGCCGCCTCCAACCCCTACGGCCTGCTGGGCGCCGGCGCGCTCGCCCACGCCGAGGGCGCGGGCATGCAGCAGGGCAGCCCGTTCCGCAGCCCGCAGAAGCTGCTGCAGAGCGAGTACCTGCAGGGCGTCCCCGGCAATGGGCACCCGCTGGGGCATCACTGGGTGACCAGCCTGAGCGACGGCGCGCCCTGGCCCGCGGCGCTGGCGGGCGGCCCGCTGGAGCAGCCCGACGTGAAGCCGGGCCGCGAGGACCTGCAGCTGGGCGCCATCATCCACCACCGCTCGCCCCACGTCTCCCACCACTCGCCCCACGCCAACCACCCCAGCGCCTGGGGCGCCAGCCCGGCGCACAGCGCCTCGCTGGCCGCCCCCCCCGCCGCCGCCGCCGCCGCCGCGCCGGCCAGGGCTTGCACCCGGGGCTGCGCGGCGAGGCCGGCGGCGAGCACGGCGAGCTGGGCGGCCACCACTGCCAGGACCACTCGGACGAGGAGACGCCGACCTCGGACGAGCTGGAGCAGTTCGCCAAGCAGTTCAAGCAGCGCCGCATCAAGCTGGGCTTCACCCAGGCCGACGTGGGGCTGGCGCTGGGCACCCTCTACGGCAACGTCTTCTCGCAGACCACCATCTGCCGCTTCGAGGCCCTGCAGCTCAGCTTCAAGAACATGTGCAAGCTGAAGCCGCTGCTGAACAAGTGGCTGGAGGAGGCCGACTCCTCCACCGGCAGCCCCACGAGCATCGACAAGATCGCGGCGCAGGGGAGGAAGAGGAAGAAGCGGACCTCCATCGAGGTGAGTGTCAAGGGCGTGCTGGAGACGCACTTCCTCAAGTGCCCCAAGCCGGCCGCCCAGGAGATCTCCTCGCTGGCGGACAGCCTGCAGCTGGAGAAGGAGGTGGTGCGGGTCTGGTTCTGCAACCGGCGGCAGAAGGAGAAGCGCATGACCCCTCCGGGCGAGCAGCCGCAGCACGACGTGTACTCGCACGGCGTGAAAACGGACACGGCCTGCCACGACCTCTGACCGCGGGCTCCGGCCCCGGGACTGCCCGGCCGCGGCACGGACTGCCCGCCTTGTGGGCTTTATTAACTTATGGTTTCGGGAGACGCGGCGAGGGGTCCCCGCCCGCCGCCGCCTCGGCAATATTTTTTTTTTTTTTTCCTCTCTCCGACCTTTCCGCTGGTCACACACGGTGTTTACTCGCAGACGAGGTTTGTTTTCGGTCTCTGCTAGGACGAAGGGAAAAAAAAAAAAAAAAAAAAAAAACTCCACCAACCCCCACCGCAAAACAAAACCCACGCAAAAAGGAAGAGAAAAGAAAAACCGAGAAAAAAAAAAAGAAAAAAGGGAAAACCCACGGAAAAATAGAAAATTAAAAAAAAAAAGAACGAAAAACCCGACAGAAAAGGAAAGACAGATGTGTGCCTATGAATAACCTTCCAGCGCCTTGGTTATATCAGCTGTATTTCAGGTGAATCTGTTTTACAATAGACTAGTTTTGCATTTTTAAAGACTTATATAGCGTTTTTAAATGTCTGAGGTGTTTTACTACAAACTGTACACAATATTTGTGACCTAATTTGTATCGAATTGAGCAGTCCAAACGACCCTCCCTTCCCCGAGCACCGGCAGTGTCACGCAGCGGGGCCGGGGCAGGGCGGCCGCGGCCCTTCCGCACCCCCCCGAGGAGATGGGGCTCCCTCCGCGCCCGCGGAGCCCCGCACCGATGCGAAGAACAGGCTTATTTGTTGCAGCTTTTTTTTTTTTTCTTCCTTTTCAAGAACTTCCCAACACCGTCAAACGGTCGGGTCACAAGCCTGACCTTCCCCCCTCCCTTCTTCTCACAAGGAAAAAAAATTATATATATATATATATAAAATAATTATTTCTAGGAGATTTACCCGAAATTAAGCATCACAACCAAACCCGCGGCATTTGCCAGTCTTTTTTTCTTTCCGAAGATGAGTTGGGCTTTTTTATCAGCGCCAGACTGAGAGGTCTGTAGTAAAACACCTTTATCCTTCTGCGCTTTCGCTTCGGAAATCGGTTTCTCTGTATTTTGTTTCGATAGTGAAGAGGAATGAGGTGTCGGGGGGGAGGGAGGAAGGGAGGGAGGGAAGAGGACAGAAAACGCCCGCATTCGGTTCACGCTGAGCTTCTTTCCGCGTCGCAGGGAGATGCTGGATTTGTGGAAAAGCTTTTCTAGCGGGGGAGGGCGGGGGAATGGGGGGAAAGGAAAAAAAAAAATCCTAATAATAATAATCACCGCCAAAACAGGGAGAAAAAAAAAAAAAAAACAAAAACAAAAAAAACCACAAAACCCTCTCAACCACCAAAACAAAGTCCCTAAAACGCAAACGCCGTTTTTCGGGCGCAGGGAAGTGCTGAGCTGCACCCGCCCCTTCTCCCCCTGTCCCTCCCAGCCCGGGGCTGCGTTGTCCCCAAGGACGGGGCGGGGGGTGCGGTGGCCACGCACCCACCCGCGAGGGGTCCGTGTGTCTGTCTGTCTGTCCGTGTGTGTGTGTGTGTGTGTGCGCACCCCCGGGGCCGCCGGGCAGGGCCGGGCTCCCCCCTCCCCGCTCCCGGGGCTGCACCCGCGGCCCCCCGAGGGCCGGGCCGGTCCCCGCTCCGCAGCTCCCGCACAGCATCCCCCTCCTCTTTTCCTCTGCTCCCCCCCCCCCCCCCCCCCTCTTGACCTGCCTATTTCTGCCAACTTTATAACTGTACAGTTTTGTATATTAAACGTTTTTTGGAAGTTATTAATTTAAAGAAAGATCATTTAGTTTATTCATTTAGTAACTGATGTATAATAAACGCTATTTTCATTAAAGGTTGCTTTTTTCAACTATTTTATCCAAAATTGCCTATTGCAGTTGCCAACAATTATTTATTTTCAATAAATTCCGCATTATGTTTAAAAAAAAAAAAAAAAGAAAGAAATGGGTGTCGGATAAAAATAATAACGAAACACACGAGTGGCTGTAACGTTTGGTTGTCGACCAGTTTTAGTCAAGGGGTTTATATTGACGCAATATTTTATTGTTGTAAAAGGACAAAAAAAAAATATTCCAAAAAAACCCAAAAGGTTTAAATAAACATTTTTACGAAAGAAAAACAAAATAGCTGGAAACCTGCGGGTGCGTGGTTTGTGCGCTGGCCGAGCCGGGCTCCTCCGGCCCCTCAGCCCCGGGCACGGCCGGGGGGGCTCCCGGGGCCGATCCCGGCAGTGCCGCTGACACCTGCCGCGGCTTCGGGGTGGAAAAAAAAAAGCGCTTTTGGGGCGGAAAAAGGATCCGTGCGGCTTTGGCGGGGCAGGGCAGCGTGTGTCCATCGGCGGAGCCGCGCGTCGCTGCGTTCTCTGTGTATCGATATTCGTGGAGCCGGCTCGCCGCCCCCGCGGCGGGTCCCGACCCCGGGCAGCGGCAGCGAGCGGGGCACCGGGCAAGTTTCTTTTGTTCCGCCCGTACCCCCGCCCACCGTGGCCGGGCCGCGGCCGCCGGCAGCTGAGGGGCCGCAGCACCGGGCCCCGTCCCCGCCCCGGGCCGCTCCCCCGGCGGGGAGGGCAGCGTGCGGAGGAACAATGACACTTAATCACGGCGAACGGGGGAGACGGGCCGGCCCCGGCAGCCGGGGGGTGCAGGGGGAGGCAGGGAAGCAGCAAAAACTTGAAGGGATCGCCAGCGAAACGGGCTTTTATTTTTTTTTTTTTTTCTTCTCCCCCCTTTCTGAAGCCGAACCTCGGAGAAAACAATAGCCAACCCCTTCTGCCAGCAGTGTAGGGGGGAAAAAATTACCTTTAGGAGTCCTGAGAAGCGGCCCGAGCAGGGAGCGAGCTCTCATCTTCAATAAGCAGCAGCAGCCCGCGAGTGGACAGGCGCCTTCCCACTGCACTGCCAGCACCTGGGAGCGAGAGGGATTTGGGATGTGAACAGTGGGCCGTGCATTGTTTCTGAACCATAAAACTGATTTATTTCATTGGTAAATCTCTGTGAGCTGCAGCACCGCGGCCTTGGGGGCAACGGGCCTGCGGCCGCCCCTGCGCTGGGCAGCGCAGCCCGGGTGGCTCCGCTGAGGGACCACAGCCTCCAGCTCTCTCTCCAGGAGGATTACAGCAGCAGCAGAAGGAAATATAACCCCCAAAAGCCCGATTTTTCAGTCAGCTCCAGGAACAGGATGAATGTGGCGTGGGGACCTAAGCAGGAGTAAAGAGCCGTGGTTTGTAAGCAGCCCCAGCTGAGGAGAAGCTCCAGGTTAAAGCCAGCCCTGTGTGCTCACGGTGCCTCTGAATGAGCAGGGCCCAGGGAGGCAAAGCTCCTAAAGGCAGCCTTGGTTTGGAGGAGGGACAGAAGGCGTTTCACTGAAATTAGCCCGTTTTAGAGCCCTTTGGCTGCTCTGTAAATACAACCACAGCGAGGGCTGGGTTATGTCTTATTTTAAAACAAATTAGGCTGAGACAAAAGAGATGCAATGAAAGACGAAATCAAGTAAGTTTATAAACAGAAGCACTTCAAAGGCTGCTGGAAAGCCGGAGAAAATAGGAGAATTTCGTCTAAAGAAAAGAAAATCTCTGCTGGTTATTGCCCATCGATTTCAGTGTTCTTGCGAGCAAAAGGAAACTCTTTTGTGCCACCTAATGTTAAGTACAGATCACTGTTGTCTTCTTCGATGCCCATCATCCGTGGTGAGCGTGGGGAGCCCTCGGGGTGCTGAGCCCATCAAGGTGGAGCTCAGCATCCCAAAGTCCCACCAAACCAAGGGCAGGGAGAGAGAAACTTGAGCTTCACAGTCACCTTCTGAATTTAGGGGTTTTTTCTTAAAAAAAGAACTCAGGAGGGGGTGGAGAGAAGCACGGGGTAGAATCATAAGAATGAGAGACTCCAAATTTGGGCTTTGTTATAAAAAAGTAGCTGCACAACGAGCACATCCAGGGTTTATATAAGCTGCCCACCCCCAAGCTCCATCTCAGCTGCCTCTGGGCTTGGGGGAGCTTCTCCCTCCGCTCTCCTCAAGAACCCAAGTGGCCTGGCCTTTGCACACCCGTGTCTCCCAGCTGGAAGAATTTTGGTGTGTACTTAGCAGCCATTCACATTAATTTAGTATGTAAATATCTCACACAATCCTTTAAAGAAAGGGCTGAAAGCAAGTGTTTCTCCGATGACAATAAATTGCACTGTTTTTGTGATTTTAATGGTGAGTGTTAAACGTCTTTAGCAATTTTTGAGGCTGAATCTTTCATGCTTTTCATATTATACTGAAAAAAAGAACTAGAGGCTTCCTTTGAGTTAAGTTTTCAATATTTGTAAGCTGTGCTCTTTAAAGATGGCCGGGACGTGGGAGAGGGTTCTATTGAAAGCAAAAAATTACTGGAAGTAAGCAGATGCCATTTCACTTTAGGTTGGTCACTATAGCTCGTTCAAAATATGGACCAGTCAATCCATACCTAGGCTACATTTGACCACGATGTTTTTAAAATCTCTCAAAATCAAACATTTCAAGGTTTTTTTTTTTCCCTGTATTTTTAGGTATTGATTCCCTAGGTTTAGGCAGAACAGATGAAAGCAACCTGGTCCTCTTGGGCTATATCCATGTACCAAAACCACCACTGATTTTAGGGCAGATCCACATGTGGATGGAGACACATTTAAAACCTCAGTCCTTCCCCCAGGAGCACATGGGGCTGGGGGTGGCTGCCCTGGTCCCAAAACCCAGACAAAATTCATTGTTTACTCACCAGGGCAATCAGTGAGCTCACCGTGCAAATGGAGTTATTAATTAATCTTTGCACAACTGAATTCCAGGGTTCCATCCTAGGAAAAAAAATAGGAATACAATATTTCAGGCAGGTGACCAATCTGCTCAATATCCCCCCAGAATACCCACAGACATCAGGGCCTACATTTGTACTCAGTTTCCCCTTTTTCCAGCATCCTGTAACCAATAGACTGGAAAGGCTCCACAGCAATTACATATTTAGGATATGTGATAGCTGCAGTTAAGATCTTTATGACTGATTGCAGGATAAAATTTACTTCAAATGTGCAAGAGCCCATTTTTAAACCTCAGTCTTTCAGCTGCTTTGCATTAGAGATATTCCAAAGAATCAAAAGCAATTAGAGCGTACAAAGTCTAAATGGTAAATAATTTCCAAATCAAAACCTTTATTAAAGCAATAAGCATCTATTTTTGT